CAAACCCTAAAACCATCTCCCCCCAAAGAAAAATTACAAACGAATTATCCTAGACAAAATCTTTTCAAAAAATATTTTATTGTAAAGATGCTATACAGAGGGGTTACAGTTACATGAGTAAGGTAATGAGTACATTTCTTGTCGTGCATTGTTACAGCCTCCTTTGTTTTTTCCTACTATTTCTTCCTTCCCCCACCTCCCCCACTTCTCCCACCCCGAAGTTGTAGTTATTTCATGAGTGTCTTGTGAGTATCATTGTTGCAATGGGCCATCCTGTGTCCTTGTTTCAGCATTTTGTTATTCCCCTTACTCTTCCCAAATTAGATAAATGTATATAAAAGATGCAGAGTGCCAAAATCAAGTACAGTGGCAACAGGGGATATACATAGGGGGAAGAACATACAAAAGAAACAAAAAAGTCACACAGTACATTAAAAATAACAACAACAAAGAAAAACCACTTGTGTCCATATCTTGAGGTTCATTTCACTTAGCATCATTTTATATGGTCATATGTACTTAGCTTTTGAGCTTTTCTGCTCATCTGGTATGATTGTTCTAGACATATACTAATTATTACAAATAAGGGAAACCATGGCACCTGTATTTCTTTGGATCTGCCTACTTCACTTAGGATTTTTACCAAGTCTTTCCATTTCCTAAAAAATGGGGTGGTGTCATTCTTTCTGATGGAAGCATAGAATTCCTATATATATATTTATATTTATATGTCATATATATCACATTTTCTTGATCCAATCATCTACTGAAGGGCATCTGGGTTGGTTCCCTATATTAGCTATGGTGAATAATGGCTGTGATAAACATAGTTGTGCTGGTAACTTTAGTATGGCCTTGTTTGTGATTATTGGGGTAAATGCCCAAAAGAGTGATTGTTGGGTCATAGGAAAGCTCTATGTGTAGTCTTTTGAAAAACCTCCATACTGCTTTCCAGAGTGGTTGAACAAGTTTACAATCCCACCAACAGTACAGTAGTGTTCCCTTTTGGCCACATTCTCTCCAGCATCTGCTGTTATTTGATTTCTTGAATATAGCCATTCTAACTGGGGTGAGGTGGAATTTCAATGTTGTTTTGATTGGCATTTCTTTTATGGTCAGAGAAGTTGAGTATTTCTTCATGTGTCTATTGGCCATTCTTACTTCCTCTTCAGAGAAGTCTCTCTAAGTCTTTAGCCCACATATTAATGGGCGGTTGTTTCTTTGTGGATTTATTTTTGGAGGAATTAATTTTTTGAGTTCTAAGTATATATTAGAAATAAGGCCCTTGTCTGTTGGATGGCTAGTGAAGATCTTCTCCCAATCTGAGGGCTTTCTATTGATCTTGATAGGTATGTCCTTTGCCATGCAGAAGCTAGACATAATCTTAACCATTGGTCTCCCTGCCTAGTGGAGTCAAGTGTCTATTGAAAGTATCAATTGATTTCTATGGAAGGAATGCAAACATAAACTTTATATAAGTTATTACAGAGACAAAGAAAGTCTGTGGCAAGATGGTCCAAGATGGGCTATTTATCAGCCACAGTGAAAAAACAACAACCAACTAATACAAAACAAAGCACTTTAAAAAGAAAATGATAAGATATCAGTTTATAAATTTGGAAAAGCAAAGTTCCATCCCCAACAGAAGATAACTAACACAAATACAGAATACTTCATCAAATATTTGTCAGAAGCTCATCATCAAGAAACAAGTTCTAATATTAAATAGGATAACCAGGAAAAAAAATCAGGATTGCTAAAACTGACAATTATGCATTTTGCTTAGTTTTCTGTTTGGGAGAAGTTTTTGTTTTGTTTTATTTATTGACTACCACCTTATTAATATATAATAAAATTGTTAGTCTCCTGATTTTCTTTGGAAGTAAAGACATTTGTACATCACTTTTATATAATAACAACAAAAAGACATCAGAGGAACAATTATTTTAAAGAATACAATCAGCTTAAGCCAAGTCTGGAGTTTTGAAAAATAATTAGATAACAATATACTAGTATGAGTTCACTATCACGAATTTTAAGCTGCTTTTCCTGGACTTTAAGAGCTCAAGGAGCTGAAGAGATGGCAATCACCCAGTATTACAGATGAAGTAACAGAGGAGTAGAGAGACTGACTTGATTCTTTTAACAATAAGAATTAGATTATGAAACTTGTAACTCAGTGACAGCAGGAAGAAATAGCTCTGGGAAGCTCTGCTCCCAACTTGACTAAATCCATGTCACAATCTCTCATTGTTCCCTGCCTTGGTCCATTTTCTGTTACTATTAAAAAATACCTGAAGCTAGAAAATTTGTAAAGAAAGGTATTTTTTAAGTCACATTTCTGGAAGTGTAAGAGCATATTGATGGCATGTTCATGGCTTCTGCTGACAGCTTCTTGGTGGAAAGTGAAAGAGTAAAGGTTTGTGCAAAAGAGAAGCCAAAGAGACCGAAGAAAAACTGAACTCAGTTCAGGACAACATGGTTTCATAACTGACCCATTCTCCCAGGAATTCCATTATCCCTTCATGGAAGTGAAGCTCCTAGGACCTAATTACCTTGCAAAGATCCCACTATTTCTAAATATCATTATTCTGGGAACTATACCTCAACATTAGCTTTGGTGAAAATAAACCATAGTATCCCCCTTTAACTCTCTTTTCTCAGTAAACAGCCTAATAAAAACTGTGATTCTCTGTACAAAACAAGCTTCCAAACAAGTTCCCCCAGGTGCCTTTCCCTTCCTCCAACACAGTGCAGAAATCCTAGAGTGGCCATTCTCTGTGTTCAGGAATAACTTTTCCTTCACTGTTAGGGACTAAATGCTTGTGTGTTTACAAAAATTCATATGTTGAAACCCCAAATGTTATGGTATTACAAGATGCAATCTTTGAGATATAATTAGAATTAGGTCAGGTCATGAGATTGAGAACTCATGCAAGGTTACTGTCCAATAAGAGTTCCAAGAGAGCCTGCTTCATCTTTTTTGACCACATGAGGATAAAAAGGGAAATTGGCCATTGGTACCTGTGAAAGAGGCCTTTTCTTAAAGGTAACACTCTGATCTCAGACTTCCAGCCTATAGGATTGTAAGAAACAAATTTCTTATTTTTATAAGCTACCTAGCCCATAGTAGTTTGTTACAGCAGCATGAACAAATTAAGACATTACCTATCTAGAGTCTATGGGCTTTGATGAACTAGAGAATTTGACAATATCCTGTTTATCCTGTTGATTCTTTAGTTGCATTTATTTGATCTTTGCCTTTCTCTATCTGACACACTTAAAGCTAGCTTTTGGAGATAGTGTTTAAAATACATTGTGGGAAATAACACATCTCTTAGCCCCTGGGTACTAATTAGTTGGCTTATATAAGTTTAATTTCTTCTTGTGAAATTAAGATTTTCTCCAGTCTCTCTTGCACTAGTAGCAACACACAGGTATCCAAAATCCTTTGTGGTCCATACTCTCTTTTCTATGGTAGCAGATTTGGACAAGCCCAGGAAGGGATGGCTTTGCCTACTTGTTCTCAAACTACATGTCAATATGTAACATAGTATATCTGAGAATTGCATACTGATGCTAGACAAAGATAAAGCCATTTATTACAAATACTATAGATTTTAATCAGTAAGATACTAATAAAACAGGGAAGTTAGACTCATGTAAATTGAATCCAACTGGAATGAGTTCAGAGGTGACTAGGGGCCCTAAGCAGGTAAAGGGGAAGGGGGAAAAATAGGGGTCATTAGAGTCAGGGAAGTGAAAATTACAAAGAATGTATTAGTGTAAATGTGATTATGAAGGAAATTAGGATTTGGAGACAGAGTTCCTGTATTTTCTGATAACTGCATTTTAAAGGATGGCTTTCAGGTCCCAGAGAAGGAGCTCCTGAGTCATAGAGTATCTCCACGAGTTGGAGGAAGGATTCACAACCATAAGCCCTCTCCATTAAATGCTGTAAGAGGAGTGGGCAGAGCCACTTCTTAGGTGTTGACTAGAATGAACAACAGATGTTATTGACAGTTTTGAGCTTTCTTAGGCAAGCACTTTGAGGTGGGCTAGGGCCATTGTACCAATGAAACCTGGAACTGCTAGAAACTTTTTTTTAATGTTTATTTAAGTTTTCTATGGTGAGAGAGAAGGGATAAATGAAATAATTTGTTTTGAAAATCTAATTTCTAATAGGCTAAGATAGAAGCCTACTCCAAAAGACAGTTCAGAATATCCTGGCTAGAATTTAGTAAAGGAAAGAAGATTTTCCACAGAAAAATTTTAAGATATGTCATTTTATTTTTAATTTTTTGAAAACTGGCATGACATCAGTGGCTCATGCCTATCATCCTAGCCACGGGCGGGGGTGGGGGGGGTAGGGAGGGGCTGAGATCTGCAGAATTGCCAGTTTGATAAAAGTCTGAGAGTCTACCTCCAAAATAACTGCTAAAAGCTGGGCTGTCGTTGTGGTTCAAGTGACAGAGCACCATAAGCAAGACCAGCAAGCACCAGGACCTGAGTTCAAACTTTGGTATTAGCCCAAACAAACAAACAAAACTGTCAAAATACAGTTTACGTAGGGGGTAAAGTGGCAATGTTGAAATGTTGACACCTCATACAGTTCTCAAGAGTATCTCGGGCAGCACTTTTCATAGAAGCATGCAAACTTCTTATGAAATTTCAGTAGCTTCAGATCCACAGTAAACGAAGTAAAAACGGATGGAAAACGTGTTGAGTATCTTATTGCCTCTCATTTCATTCAAAACATTATTCCAATATGTATGTACTCAACGTTTAAAAAATTTTAAGGTATCTTACATCCTTTCTTGCCTTCTAAGTCTTTGAAATCTGGCGCGTCAACTGAGATCAGCCACATCCCTTTGTTCAAGAGCCAGGGCGACAGCAAGAGACAGCCTCAATCTAGACAGCAGGGCGGACCCGCCTTGCTGGCGCAAGCGCAGGGCGGGTCTTAGTCCGGTGGGCGGGGCTCCTCGGAGAAGCCTGCGTTTTGGGCCACGCCGGCTCCCGTCGGAAAGCGCCGCGGCTGTGGCGGCGCCACGTCCACTGCGGCGGTAGGAGAGCGCAGTCGGTTGGGCCTCCGGCCGGCTTCCCGCAACCATGGCCTTTACTCTGTACTCGTTGCTGCAGGCCGCCCTGCTGTGCGTCAACGCCATTGCGGTGCTGCATGAGGAGCGCTTTCTTAAAAACAGTGAGTGGGGCCGGGCTGGAGCTGGCGGTGGAGTCGTGGCGGGGTGGGGGTGGGTCGGACCCCGGCGGGGCCGCGCGCGTGCGCGGGCCGGGGGTGGGGGGGGGCGATCCGGGGGAACGCGGACGGGGGTGGGGGCGATCCGGGGGAACGCGGACGGGGGTGGCTCGGGGTGAGCGGAACGGCCTGGTGTGTGTGTGTGGGGGGGGGGGCTCCAGTTAAACCACTTCCTCGGGGCTAGGTTTGAGTCCACAGCCGCGAGCAGACGCCCCACCGCGTGCGCCCGAGGGTGGCCGGGGTGGGGCGTCCCCAGGCGTGCCCCGCCCCGCCCCGCCCGAGGCAGGCTGCCGTCAGTGACTTGGTAGCGTCGTCCGGTTGCGGATTTCATTGATGGAAAAGTTAGGATCTGGAGTTTTGAGTTCCGAGTTGGGTTGGGGGGGGGCGGGGGCGTGGTTCACGCTTGAGTAGTGTTAGGGGAATGGGTTGATGGGCCTCAATATAGGGGTTTCCCTGGGCTGTTGGGTTAAAGAGGGAAAAAGAAAGGGTTGGGAAAGTTGTTAGGACATCCAGCCACCTAGTGATTGACTCAGCATAGATTGTTGTCCCAAGGACCGTGCTAGACTCCAGGAATCAAAGATGAAAACGCAAATGTATGCGTGCCAGTTTGCGCAGGCTATTTCTGGCTGTATTCCTTGAAATTCAAACACAGGCAAGGTCGATTCATTTATTACCTAAAAAGGAATTTATTGAGCACCAGTTATGTGCCAAACCCTTGTAGGAGCTGATGTTACAGCAGTTACCTTGCCCTTGTCATAAAATTAGTCTGAATTAAAAAGTATGCTAAATATTAGCTATAGTGCTGGGTGATGCTATCTTTGACTTTGCAGAAGCTTCTTGGAGGAAATGTGTCCCAACCTGAAATCTGATAAGTGAGAAATTATTAACTAGGTAAAGTCGAAGGGTTGGGAGAAGTTATAAGGTTGAGAAGATTGTAAGCAGTCTAGAAAATTCTCAGGCACGTGAATACAGTCATAAGCAAGGACATGTGTAACTATATTTGTGTTTTTGAGATCCTTCCAGCTGCTGTATGGAGAACAGAAAGGAGAGGAATGGTTGTAGGAAGAACTGTTCCAAATAGGGCAAATGGAGATGGGTGATTGTAAGAAATAACAGTAGTATTTATATGGTAGTCATTATGTGTTGTATCTGTATCAAGTGCTTTACATATACACTGTGTAACCCCACAGCAACTCTAAAAGATAATTACTGTTGTTGTTCCTGTTTGATGGAACCTGAAGCACAAAGAGTAATTTCTGTAAAGCTCACCAGATAGAAAGTGGTAGCACAAAGTATTCTGACCAAGTCTATCCCTTTACCACTACACTACACTGAAATTAAGAGTGCTCTTGTTACTGGTTGAATTATACCCTCAGAAATGATCAGATATGGGGGCTGGGAAGGTGGCTCAGTGGTAGAGCGCTTGCCTTGCATGCATGAGGCACTGGGTTCGAGTCCTCAGCACCACATAAGCAAAAAGAAAAAAGCCAGAAGTGGCACTTTGGCCCAAGTGGTAGAGCACTAGCCTTGAGCTGAAGAGCTGAGGGACAGTGCCCAGGCCCAGAGTTCAGACCCTATGACCGGACCACCCCCCCTAAGAAAAAAAAAAAAAAAAACTATCAGATATGAGGCTGATGAACAAGGTTATGAGCTGCAAGAAAATATATAAGAACAAATTGTCTTTCTATACATAAACAATTATAAAAGGTAGTTAAAAATAGTATCAAAAATAAAAAACACAGGTAAAAATTTGACAAAAGAACAAGTCTTTTTAGGAAAACTGCAAGGAATTTTCAAAAGAAATTAAAGATCAGGGACTTTTAAAGTACCTCTTATGTGCACAGATTACAACACTTGATAATAATGATTTACAGATTTAATACAATTTGTACCAAAATTCCAAGATAGTTTTTTTTTTTTTTTTAAGAAATTGACTTTTATAATTAGGTTGCTAGGCAGACGCTGCCATTTGAACCACACACCTAACCCAGCCCAAACTATCTTAAAAGAGAAGAACAAGTTGGAGGATTCAGGTGTTTTATGTTTTGTGTGTGTGTGTGTGTGTGTGTGTGTGTTTTAATTTAATGCCTGCTACAAAGTCACTGTAATCAAAACAATATATAGACAAATGAAGTAGAATTCAGAAACCTGAAATTGATTCTTATACTTACGATTTGTTGATTTTCAAAACGGTATTAAAAATTCTACTGTTATTAGTGATGTTTTTAAAAAAAATAGAATGCCTAAACAGTAGTCCAGATCCACATTCAACTTTCTAGGAGTAAAGTTCAAAAGTGTTCATTTTCCAAATGTTTTTAGGTGATTGAGATTTGGCTCCTATATGGAAACTGCCACAAAATGCTGGACTGGCCCAGAAATGATAATACATACACTTTGCCCTCCAGAACTTTGTCTTCCACTTATCTATTTCAGCCCAGAAGTAGCATAGAAATGTTTTATTGGAGGGTGTGTTTTTGAATTTTTATTGTTAATACAAAGGTGATGTACAGAGGAGTTACTGTTTCCTAAGTCAGGTAAATGAGTACATTTCTTTTTGTTACCCCTTCTTTGCTCTCTCTTAGTTTTTTTTTTGTTCCACCCCAGCCCACAAGTTGTATAATTCATTTTCAATATCATGTCTTCTGAGTACCACTGCTACATTTTTTTACACCTTGTACCTGCATTTCTTTGCTCCCTGCTGCCCATTCCCGACAGATACATAAGACAAAAAGAAAAAAAAACACATTTTTTACATTTCCTGGTATTCATTTCACTAAATATCATTTTGATCAGTGATGGAGGGATTGTGCTTTTGGGTTTCTCCCCTAAGAGTATCTGCCTTTGGTCTCAGTGAGTGCCTAGAGTCTGCATAATTTATCATGTCCTGGTGTATTTTAGGTCTAGGTTCCACAAATAAGAGGAAAGTATGCCCTGTTAGTGTCTCTGAGCTTAGCTTAACATGATTTATGCTAGGTCCATCCATTTCCCTGCAAATGACATATTCTTTCTAATGGCTGTGTAAAATTTCATTGTTTGCCACATTTTTGGGGGGGTGGTCCGGTCATGGGGCCTGAACTGTGGGTCTGGGCACTGTCCTTCTGCTCTTCAGCTCAAGGCTAGCGCTCCACCACTTGAGCCACAGCACCACTTTCGGCTTTTTTTCTTTTTGCTTATGTGGTGCTGAGGAATCGAACCCAGGGCCTCAGGCATGCAAGTCAAGCGCTCTACCATTGAGCCACCTTCCCAGCCCATGTGTGCCACATTTTTTTGATCCACTAGTCCATTGTAGGGCATCTGACCTGTTTCTATAACTTGGCTATTATGAATAGTGCAGCAGTGAACATAGATGTACAAGTGTCTTTACAGTATCCTGTCTTGTGGATATCATAACCAAGGGTGGTATGGGAAGGTGTATGTTAAATTTTTTGAGGAACTTCCAGATTTCTGTCCAGAGAGGTTGTATTATTTTATATACACACCAACAGTGCAATAAGGTTCCCTTTTCCCCACATCTCTGCCAGCATTTGTTCACATTTTTTTTTTTTTTTCGCCAGTCCTGGGGCTTAAACTCAGGGCCTAGGCACTGTCCCTGAGCTGTTTTTGCTCAAGGCTAGCTCTCTACCACTTGAGCCACAGTACCACTTCCAGTTTTTTCTGCTTAGTGGTACTGAGGAATCGAACCCAGGGCTTCATGCATGCTAGGCAATCATTCTACCACTAAACCACATTCCCATTCCAGTTGTTCAAATTCTTTATTTTGGCCAATCTAACTGGGGTGAGATGGTATCTCAGAGCTGTTTTGATTTGCATTTCCTTTATGGCCAGAGATTTTGAGCATTTCCTCATGTTTCTTTGCCTCTTCTGAGAAGTCCTTAACTCCTTTGCCCATATAAGTGGTTGGTTTATTAGCTTTCGGAGGGGTTAGTTTCTTGAGCTTCTTGTGTATTTTGGATATTAGGCTTTTGTCAGATGTATTGCTGTTAAGTATCTTCTCCCAGTTTGTTGGCTGTCTTTCTAGTTTAACTATGTCCTTTGCTGTGCAGAAACTTTTTGATATAATCCGATTTGTCAAGTCTTCTTCTGTGCCTCTGGGACTCTTTTTAAAAAGTTTCTGCCTATGCCTATAAGTTCTAGTGTTACTCCTAGTCCCTCTTGCAATAATTTTGAGGTTTCAGGTCTTTGATCCACTTTGAGTTGTGGAGGGTGTATTTTGAATATGATCCTAAAACTAAAGGAAAACACTATAACCATTTATCTAAGTGGATAAACTGTTAAGTGATCCAAAACCAATGGAAATAACCTAAAATACTCCTTAGCTCTTATTGCCTCCTTACTGGTCACTGTGTTTCTGGGTTTATTCTCTTTATACCTTCCAGGCAAAGTGAGCCTATTCTTCTGCAGTTCTCCACTTCCTCAATATCCATAGCCTCTTTCTTCTTCTTTCCCTTCCCCAGAACTGACCCCCTGTGACAGTCTCACCTTGGTGCTATAGCTCAGGGCTGAGCCTTTTCTCATACCATTTCCTTCATCATTGCCTTCAGAGATCGACCATTTTTCTACAACTGGCTAAGACCTTGGCACATCCTTTAAGCCTACTGCTGGCATTTCCATCTTCCACAAGCCATTTTGGACCATCTTCATTGCCATAACAACCACTGTAGTTTCTTTTCTCCATCCTCTGGTAGATTGAGAAAGATTCTCTATCTTTCTAGTTCTGAAAGTCAGTAAGTGCTTTCTAAATAACTAAATAATTCCGCCATTATTGGGCTGGGAAGGTGGCTCAGTGGTAGAACGCTTGCCTTGCGTGCATGAGGCCCTGGGTTCGATTCCTCAGCACTACATAAGCAAAAAGAAAAAAGCCGGAAGTGGCACTGTGGCTCAAGTGGTAGAGCGCTAGCCTTGAGCTGAAGAGCTAAGGGACAGCACCCAGGCCCAGAGTTCAGTCCCCACGACCGGACCCAAAAAAAAAAAATAATAATTCCGCCATTATTATATTCACACGATTCCTGATTTGAGGGCTTATTTATGCAAACACTTGAGCTAGTATTGAGTAGAATAGAGAATGTGTTGTTTCTTCTGGGTTCTACACATTAATGTGAGAGGGGAAATAGTGAATTTTCATACTCATAGCATTGTTCTTATTCAAGTTTTTCTTTGGGTACTTAGTATCAATTAGACACATACTTATTGAATCCACTATGAAGCTGTGATACAATGACATAATATGAAATAAATAGGAACAGTACTCTGGCTGCCATAACAAAGTATTATAGCCTGGATTGCCTAAGCAATAGAAATTTATTTCCTTAGTTCTGGAGGATGGAAGTCCAAGATCTAGATACCAGCACAGTCCAGTTCTGGTAGGGCCTTCTTCCTGCCTTACAGTTGGCCTTTACATGGCAGAGATCTTTCTCCTACAATGCTACATATCATGTGACTGATTTAGCCTGAATTATCTTCTGAAGACTCTTTATCTGTAGATACCATTCTCTTGGGTATTAGAGTTTCAGCATATGAAGGATCTATGGTCACATAGTTTACTACATAGTAAACAGTTTAAAAAAATCACAAGCTCTTACTTGACTCAAGGTTTAAATGATTGCTATAATTTTAGAGCTTAGAATAGTAAGTATTGTTTGAACTTAAATAGTAGAGGGAGAATATTGAAGGGATCAGTCTTAGTCAGCATTGCATAAATATATAAAGAACACAGCATTTTGTAAGAGACAGACATAGCTCTAGCATGACAGTTTGGGAATGTTTCCACATGAACATGTAAGTGTCTCTTTAATTATATACTTCTAAATATCATTTGTTGAATTTTTTCGTAGATTAAATGGGAATTACTATGTGAGTCTGGGAATTATGTAGAATTAAAATAATCTTAAACTAACTATCTTTTAATTCAGCATACCTTATTTTAATGAATGAATTTTTTTCTTAGCAGTACTATGGCTTGAACATAAATATATTACTCAGAGCAAGAAGCAGATAAGGCCTATATATTGTTTAACAATTTTTATCTTTTATGTGGAAAGATAAAAACAAATTACTCAGAAATCATGTTGATTTTATGTAATGGAATGTTTGGGTTTTTTTCCTTGCTGGTCCTAGAGCTTAATTTCAGGACCCAGTGCTGTCCCTGAGCTGTTGTGCTCAAGGCTAGCACTCACTTGAGTCACATCTCTGCTTCCAGCTTTTTTTGTAATTTATTAAAGAGTCTCACAAATTTTCCTTCCCAGGCTGGCCTCAAACCTGCCAGCCTGGCACCCAGCATTGAAATCAGTTTTCAATACTTGATTGTGTGTGTGTGTGTGTGTGTGTGTGTGTGTGTGCATTTATTTTTATTTTTATTTTTTTTGTTGGTTGTGGGGCCTGAACTCTGGGCTCTTCAGCTCAAGGCTAGCACTCTACAACTTGAGTCACGGTGCCACTTCCACTTTTTCTGTTTATGTGGTGCTGAGGAATTGAACCCAGGGCCTCGTGCATGCAAGGCAAGCACTCTACCACTGAGCCACCTTCCCAGCCCCAGCATTGCATTTATATACAAATTCAGTAACATTTAATACTTTTTTTGAAGAAGGTGTCTAGCTGAGAATTATTGACTCAGCATAGATGGATTGCCATTTTGTATGTAAGTTTTTTGAAGTCTGAGTAGCAGAATATGTTTGATACAGCGATCAGTAAACTTTTTCTGTGAGAGTTCGTTCCTGAGATTATGACAATGACTCCACCTAGCTGGCCTTACCATTTGCTAGGCCTTAGAGTTGTGAACATGACAGCCACAAAATTAAATCTTCCTTTTTTAAAAAACAACTTCATAAAGCTTTGGCTAGGTTCTTGAGAAAAACAACTGAGACTCCCTACATAGCAGTTAAGGGGAAATTATTTGTTATAGTAAAAAGTAATCTTTAGCACCTGGTCTTTTACTTGTCACATTTGTATATTTCTGTGAAATATATAGATAAATTATTTGCCCTCCACTCTAAATTGTTTTGTTTATTCATTCTAGTGGCAAAAGAATAGAAACTGGATTATAATTACCCAAGAATTTACCATATGTATTAGTACTTTAATGCTAATTTTTTTTCTTAAAGTAATTCTGCTACAGAGTTTGATCCTTTTTTGTTGAATGGAAGTTTAATGTCAGAATATTTTTTTTTGAAGTCATTCCTCTCACAATAAAAAAATGTAAATCTACTTTGGGTACAGATTTAAAAGCAAAAATAATTGCTGAGAAATGCAATTTCTAATTAAAAAATAGGTGCATATAGCCAGTCAGTCACCTGTGACTCATGCCTGAAATCCTAGCTACTCAGGAGGCTGAGATCTGAGGATTGAAGTTCAAACCCAGCCGAGACTGGAAAATTTGTGTCTCTTTTATCTCCAAAAAACTACCAAATGGCTGAAATGGAACTGTGGGTCATGTGCTGTGGGAAGGATGAAGAAAGATCCCTAAATTGTAGTTCCTATCTTCTAAGAATTCATAATCTAATGGGGAAAATATGAAAACAACAAATCAAGATGGTAAGATTCACTATGTCAATGGATTATTTGAGGAGCAAGGAGAAAAGTTAATTATGATATGAGGAAAGCAATTAGGATAAGTTCTGAAACTGAAGTCAAACCTAGATGAAATGTATTTAACATGTATCCCATAATGGATAATAGAGAAACAATGTCCCTTGTTCCCATAGGGAACTGGTTTCAGAACCCATTGGCTCATTACATAATATTAGTTTAAGGACTTTGGGTAGACAATGGGAATGATCACCAAATTTTGTTTTTTTTAACTCTTTAAGGGAAAACGTTAAAGGGTTGGAATAGCAAGATTATAAAAGCACCTATGGAAGCACTTATGGCTGTGGTAGTAACTACTGTGAGGTAATGTGCCCTGAAAGCTCAAAAAATAGTGAAATCTTGTGAACTGAAAGGGCTATAAACAGAACCTGAGCTAAAACTTGAAGAGGAAGCAGGAGAAAAATACCAGCTCTGTTTGCTTCTTGTTGTTGTTGTTGCTGTTGTTTTTTGTTTTTAAGAAGCCAAGAGTACTTGAATTTTATTTAACAATTGCTATTTCAGCATTTTAACTTACTTATCTTTAAAACCTTAAGTTACATGAAAAGTTTATAAATATTTACCCATTTATATTCACCAAGTTTATTTTTATTTATTTATTTTTTTATTAGTTTTGCCAGTCCTGGAGCTTGAACTCAGGACCTGGGCACTGTCCCTGAGCTTCTTTTTGCTCAAGGCTACCAGCTCTGTTTTGAACTTTAATGTTTGGTTGTATACCTCAACATATGTCAGTGACAAAAAGCAACCACCCCATTTTAACCTTTATTTCAACTACATAAAAACTGATTAAGGGGCTGGGAAGGTGACTTAGTGGTAGAGTGCTTGCCTTGCATGTATGAGGCCCTGGGTACGATTCCTCAGCACCACATGAGCAGAAAATGTCAGAAGTGGCTCAAGTGGTGTAGTGCTAGCCTTGAGCTGAAGAGCTCAGGGACAGTCTCCAGGCCCAAAGTTCAGGCCTCATGACTGACAAAAAATAAATAAATAAAAATCTATAAAAACTAATTAAGCAAAGTGAAATCATGTATCCTAGTTCTTGGTTCTTTGATGTATGACATAAAGACATTTCTCTCTGTCAAGTTTAGGAGTTAGCATGTCAGGAATTAAGCTATGTAATCATATGAGATGGTGAAATGGACTTAAAATGAGGACAAGAGGACAAACTGCAAAAATAAGGGCATGAAAGTATTAAGAAGACTGTATATTGTATTAAAAAGGAATTGAATATAAAGATAGATAATGGTTTATCATTGGAAAATAACACAGAAGAAGGTAAAAGATTCACTTAAGGAGACTTAACAAGTATAGTGGGCTACAGTCCTCTCATCACAGTTGGAAATGAGGAGGGACAATGAAAGAAAATGGGAAAAAGTCATGTCCTGCTAGCAGACTAAAACATGCTATGACAACCTAACTAAGCTTTGACCATGTAAAATGTAGTGATTCTTAGCTACAATGGTTTTATGTTGGATTTTGTAAATTCTTAACTGAGCCAACAATTATTCAGCTTGACACTATTCTTTAGTTTTCAGCTTGGATGTGAGAAATCCTTGTTTGCTGTTTTGAAAAAGGAGGGAATAGCAACCCAGTTGGTGTAATAACAGTCATCTTCAGTGAAATAATATGCCATGGACTATTTGGACTGTAGATTATTTTATAAACTCAAGGTATAAATTCAGTGAAAGGTTAATATTGCTGTTCATAAAAACTAAAATAATTCAATATTTTATTAACTTTATTTAAGGTAATGATTTTTATAGCTTATAACTTTAATAAGGGCTTAAACTTCTCTTTTTAAAAATTACTTGAGAGAGCAAGACGAGTTCATGATAAATTTTTAACACATCTAATCATCTTTATATTATACAGTTGGCTGGGGAACAGACCAGGGAATTGGTGGATTTGGAGAGGAGCCAGGAATTAAATCTCAGCTAATGAACCTTATTCGATCTGTAAGAACTGTGATGAGAGGTAAGAAGAAAAAGTTGTGGAGCACTCAAAAGTTTTAATTGTTTTCAGTAGCAAAGTTAGAAACTGTTCCTTTCAGATAGTGGAATGTTTTCAAAGAAAAAATAAAGATCTTATATCTGTCATTCCATTGGAAAAATATTTTCAAACAGATCAAGAATTCAGATACCTTATACTTAAACAATGTAATTAGGTCTTCTTTTTCTGTTTTAACTATGTTATTGACAACTTTGGATTCAGTGTTCATAAATTAAGTTTAGTGAGTAAGCTATAGACCTTTTTTGCACTGTATTTGTAATCTCAGATGTGCAGACATACTGATTTGCCTAGGTCCACTCTGTTCCCAGAGTTGAAAGGCACCATCAAAGATATTTCTTCTTGATCTAGTGTACAGTTTATCCTTAATTCCAAGATTTACAGCCCCTTTTAAAAATAAGATTTGATTTTTATGATAGTCCAATTTTTAATGTTTCCATGTAAGAAACACTTAAACATTATTATGATTGCATATTGTTTGTTAGATTGTTAGATATTTCCATCTTATTGAATGCTAGTTACCATTTAGGGTTTTTTCCCTTCCCTTTTCCTCATATTAACAAATTTTCTTTTTTCTTTTCAGTGCCATTGATAATAGTAAACTCAGTTACTATTGTATTGCTTTTATTATTTGGCTGAACATCAGTTGGAGAAATGAAGACTCAGAAGACAAGATGCCAACAGAAGTTATTACATCAGTCATTGCTAGAACATTTCTTAGCAGGCTGATCTTGCACTTGACAAAAAAAAAAACAAAAAACTATAAAGTTGACAATAAAACCAGAGGTTCTATTTATCTGATTTTTAAAAAAATGTTACACTAGTTTCATTACAAAAGATCAGATCTTCGGAAACCATAGTGCTGCAGGAGTAGAATACATTTGACTGCTGACTGTTAATAATTCATGCTGTGGTAAAGATTGTTAAAGGGTACAAGGCTGTCACTTCCTCTATCACTGCTCAGGGATAAAGTGTTTTCCAAAGTTTTTAAATTCCTTTAGTTATGATATGAAAGTGACTATCTGCTAGATGAAACTTAAAGGATTTAAGTTACATATAAATGATAAATATAAAGGATTTAAGTTACATATAAATGATAAGTAATTTGGACCATTTTATTTCATACTCTTTGGTTAAATACTTAAGCTGTATATTGTCTCTGTTATGAAGAACTCAAATGTATTGATACTATAAGGGGCAGTGCTCTCTGATTTCAGGGAGAATTCCAATTTCTAAGTCAAACGTGTTTTCTTTCATTGTTCTTTTCATACATTTATTTTAAATTGGCCTAAATGATTAGATCATAATGATAACGATAATTCTTTTTCATGGGTAGAAAAACTTATGTAGTAAAGTCTGTGCCCTTTTTACAGTGATGACTTAAAAATCACAAATAGCCTGTATGAACAATCCTAACGTCATAAACTATATGTGTAAGAAGACTGTTTATTGTGAACTTCTGCCACCTAAGATTATTTCCACTTCTTGGCGTAGCAGTACATTAATGGATGTGATTCTCAATTTTCTGTACTTTCTAGCATTCATGCTAGACAGGTTGTTTTTAAATTTTGTTTTGTTTTTATGCCTTAGACTACCCTGTGATGTTGTTTGCTCATCCCGTAATTCACTTTTATGTAGAAAGATTGAAAATATGTAAATGGTTTTCATGACAGTGATCAGTTATAATATTTTAAAGGAGTAAAATGGCATCTTTGTTTATAGGAGAACTTTTGTAAATAAAGTTGAAATTTCCAAGTCAAGCACTTACTTTTTTTTATCTTAGCATAAAAATGCCAATTAAAATTAGTCATCTCAAGTATGTACAATGTTGTAAAACTGACAAGTAGAAATTTGTGAAAGCAAACATTCACAATCCATTTTTTCTTCATTGAATCACTGAAGTGCCAACATTTTGTGAGTAAGTTTTATTCTGTGATTTAAATTACTTAGAACACCGTAGCATAAGTATAGAATACCTGTTGGTGGTACATGAATTAGAAATGGATAATCTTTGGATTGTGGGCTTGCAATGAAACTAACAAAGTATACCTGAAAGTCTTAATCACTGGGCTACTGTACCAAGCCTGTTAAAGAGACAATGTACTTTAGGCCTATCAGTTGAAATATCCAAATTTGTGCTTCTCAACTAGTTAAAAATAAATCAGTTAATTGGGGGCATTCTCATTTCCCTATATGCTATAAGTCATACAAAGTTTTTAAAAAGAGAAAATACTTTGATGCCTTTGATGCCTTTTTTTTTTTTTTTTTTTGCCAGTCATGGGGCCGGAACTCTGGGCCTGGGTGCTGTTCCTCAGCTCTTCAGCTCAAGGCTAGCGCTCTACCACTTGAGCCACAGCTCCACTTCTGGCTTTTTCTGCTTATGTGGTGCTGAGGAATCGAACCCAGGGCCTCATGCATGCAGGGCAAGCACTCTACCACTGAGCCACCTTCCCAGCCCCCTTTGATTCCTTTTTAATGTAAGAAATTACATGTGTACCTACAGGTTAACTTAGTGTTAGAATATTTGTTGATGTTCATCTATGAGGAGCAGTCACAGCAAGAAAAAGTCCATGTTCCATTGAAAACAATTCTAAGGAAAGTGGACATTGACCTTCAGATTTCTTAATCTCTAGAAGCGACTTCCACAATTCTAGTTTTAATGTGTATGACAGGAAATCTTTTAAGCTTTAATGCATTGGTCATCTCCCTAAACCAGTTGTGATTCAGAAACTATAATATCTCACTTTAGTAGACAATAACAAGTGCCTGATTGCCTGACACATCTTCCTCCATATTCTCTCAGGATTAATAATTTGTGGTCATTCTAGACTCCGGATATCATGAGTGTGGTCTTAAGTGTTCTGAACGCCTGTCTGTCTCTTAATTGGTATGAAAGATTGTGGCTTACTCTACATACTCGATACAAACCCTTGTCAAATAGTGGTTTTCCAACTTTGATTTTGAACAGCAGAACTAGATTTCTGAAGTAATTTTAATGTAGAACTCTAATACTGCAATATCTAAAACATGAGACCAAAGGTCCAATGTTCAGCCTCTGCCATCCTTAAGCCTGTCAAGGCACACCCACAAAACCTCTTAAATGGTCAACATGGCTGAAAGTATTTTTAACTCGTATCTTACTGTAAGCACAGGCATTGTGATCTGTGCTTTGGAGGCATATGCAGTCCTTGAATTTACATGTGTGTGCACTCATGAAACTTGTTGGGAGCAGGCTGTAGTGTGCAGCACCTCCCTAGGCGCTGGTAGGGTGAGACGCCAGGGTCTGGAAAAGCTGGTGCGGGGAGCATGGGATGTCCGTGTCCGAGGCGGTGCTTAAAGGGGACAGGCAGAACTTCGGAGAGCAGCTGTTAGAGCACCCTCGAACGAGCTCTCGGGAAAGCGTAAGAGACGTGGAGGCACGCCAACCAAGTTATTCTACCACCCTTGGTCCTCATTCGGCCCGAAGCACCAAAAAAGGGAGAGGTTCCGCCTGGGCGCGTTCGGACTGCCGAAGGACCGAAGGACGCGGGCGGCCGACCCGTGCCCGGCGGAGCAGCCCCAATACCTAACCTGAGCGGAAGCACTCTTAGAGGGGCGGGACTTCCGGGGCGCCCAGGCTCAGCCACCGGACCTTTTTCGAGCAGTGACCGGACGCGCTCGAGGCCCGCGGCGGGACTCTGGACGGCGCGCGGGACTGGCGTTTTTTGAGGACAGCGTGAGGGAAACGGGGGTGAGGAGCCACGCAGCAGAGTAAATTGATGATATAGAAGGAAGCGGGGTGTTAACCGCTTGTCTTCCCGAAGGGCACTTCTTGTAGGAGGGCCCGGGAAGATCGGCGGCGTCCCTAGGCCACCGCCCTCCCTCGGAGTCTGCGCCAACCCGTGCGCAGGCTCTGAGAGGACGCCGCCCCGGCTGTGGCCGCTACTGCGCGTGCGCAAAGAAGCCTCCGCTTGGCTTCCCGCACGTGTGCGTAAGGTGGCTGTTCTGGTCTGAGGTCTCCCCAGGTGGGTAGCGACTGCGTGGTGGTCCCTCCAGGAAACCTGGCCCTGAGCTGTCCTTGGACGCCAGCGTTCCGTCCGCACTCCCCGGTCAGCCTGGGTTTTGTTTGACCTTGCAACCTCAAGTAATACTAACTTTTTAAGCGTTTTGGAAGCTTATCATTTAATACGGATTAAAACTATCACTGCATTAATTGGACTTTTATATATATATATATAGTTCTTTTTTCCCCAGTCTTGTTTCTATTGTATCCTTTTAATTACCCTCAGAGTTAACATAATTTTATTGGACTTTAGCTTGTCTCATCAAAGTTGGATTTTTTAAAAAGAAACATCTTTGTTCCTCTTTATGTGAGAATGCTTTGTCTTCATTTTGCTCGTCTGTTTATTTTTGTAGTGCAGTGTATTTTAAAGAATCTTTCTTTTCCATTCAGACTAACACCCTAGACAGTTTAGTCTTTTGACACACAAGCTGTTCCCCCTTCTTGAAATTTCAAGGTCACAATGAAGATTCAGAATAGAATGACGTGAGGACCATTACGAAAAGGAGGATTTTGCAGTTGAATTTTGATTAAAGCTCTTTTTATTTTTTGTCCTGCACTCTTTTGCTATTTTTTTCCCAGTAGATACATTATGAAAGATTCTTTCTTAAAACTCACAAAGCTTTGGGGGTGGGAGTTTTAATTGCTGAGAATATAATAGGACTAATTTAGTTGCTTAACTATATTAAATGAACTATGACTGAATATAATAGGATGAATTTTATTGTCTTCTACACAAGAGTATATAACATGCAGGTAAGTTTCTAATAATTACAATAAAGAATATCTACATATTCACTAGTTAGGTCAAGAAGTAAAACATTGCCAGACCTCAGAAGCTCCCTGAATTTTCCTCATCTATGCCTGTTCTCTATCCCCTGTAGGGAATCAGTATCCTTACTCTTTGATAACCATTCTCTTCACAGTTTTAACACCTATGCACCCATTACTAAATTTGATTATTATTATGAACATATACAAACCATAAATATATGTACTTATTCCTGACTTCTGTTGACCCTGAAGTAGGTTTTTGAGAGTAGTCTTATAGTGACATATTTAAATGTACTTCATTAATTTCCAAGGTAGTCTGTGAGTGGATATACTATAGTTTGTTTACTCATCCTTTGTTGATAAGCATTTGTATGTTTTCCAGTTTTTGGCATTATAAACAATGCTGCTGTGAACATTTGTGTTCTTATCTCTTGGTACAATGTAAAAGAAGCTCTCAAGGATACAATGCCCAAGAGTAGAATTGTTAGGGTAAATGTTGCCCAACTAATTTCTGAAATGCTTGTACTGGTGTTTTCTCACTAATAGTATACAAGAATGCCTGTTGGCCACCCTTGGCATTTTCAGACTTAAATTCTGCCAATCTGTTGAATTGGTGCAATGATCTTTTTTGTTTTATGTTTTTTCCCAGTGAGTTTTTAGCATCTTTATTTATCTGCTATTCAGGTTTGTTCTTTTTGTGAAGCATGAGTTGAGGTTTCATGCTACTTGTATATTGGGAGGTTCTTCTTTTCAGAAGTTCTGGAGTTTGAACTCAGGTTCTTGAGCTTGCTAGGCAAGCGTTTTACCACTTGAATCATGCCTTTGGCCTTTTTGTGCTTCAATTCTTTTTCAGTGGGATTCTTACATCATAGTTGTGGTCTCCTACACTCTATCACCTCCCCTTCTGAGCCATCCTGAGTCCTGAATCCTCTTGCATGCATCATCCTATGCATGCAGCTAGGAACATACCAGCATCTAGTTGAGACTGGACCCACTAACATTTCCCTGGGACTCTTGTCTAATTGATAACCTCTGAATCCAGACTCATGATGTTAGCTGCTGCACCTAGCCTTGTCTTTTTCTTAATATTTATCATTTCTATTTCCTACATTCCTGTCCTTTCTCATCTGTTAAACATAAATTCTTGTATATATTTTCATTCCCTCTGTGGTACTTTTAAAATACAGTTGAATATCTGCCTTTTTATGATTTCTGCTTTTTATATCTTGTTTTACAAACCATTTCTAAAACTGTTTCATCCTCCGGTCCTAAACATAGTCCTCTTTCTAAAAAGTTGTACAGTTTTATCTCAACTGTGTGGTTATTTAATGTACTTGGAATTTTTTTTGTATGTGTTTGTATGTTATGATACTAATCAGTAACCAGAGCTCACCAGAAGTTTGCTTCAGTTCAGAGGCTCACTCTGGTTTTCTTTATGTGTGAATTTGTCTGATTTGGGGTGGGAGCAGGATCTGAGAAAGATGCTTAGCAGAAATAGGAGGAGCCAAAGGGGTTAAAAGTCAGAAGCTGCAAAGATATTTAGCTGCAATCTTTGCCGCCTCTCACCTCCTGGCAAAACTACATCTAAGGGAGAACAGTATTTCAAAGGATAACATTGGGCAATCCAGAATTTTTCAGACTGCTCTGGGAGGTAGAAGCAGTGGATTTAGCAAGCCCAGGTGAAGAGGAGAAAAATCAAAGCTTTGAGGGGGATAATGCCATACATTGATTCTTCCAGCTCATATCTCCTGACTGAAGGCAATAGATAGAAATCATGGCACCATCTTGCTTCCTCACACTGTGTACTGAAGAGAAACAGGATCAAAAAGGATAAACTTGCCAACATCAAACCATAAACATGAAGCAGAATCAAAACCAACCCCTAACCCTGCTGACTACCAATTCTGAGCTCTCAGTTGTATCTCAGGAAGCTAGGTAGGAGAGAAA